TTTTGAGTTTTTTTAAATTAGCTCAATATGTTTACACATGTATATACCAAAATGAATTACAATATATGAAACATACCACAAATTTGATTTTCAAAAAGTGTGTTGTAGTTTTGGAAAATTTGATTTATTTTGTGTGGTTTTGATTCATTTTGTGAAAATAAAGTATATATTTTGTGAAAATTATATGTTTTTCACATGTGGCTCCAATGCCCAAAACATAAAACAATAAAAACAATAAAATGCCAAAAGCATGTTTTGCACCTGCAGCTGTTTTTGGATCAAAGCAAATTTGTGGAAAAGTCACCAGTTTTGGGTGTCAAGTGGTACTATGGCACCAAAAAAAGTTATGAAAACAATGAAGAAGAAAACAGACTTGGAAAAGTCTCCCCAGAAGAAGAAAGGCTTGGAAAAGCCTTCCAACCAGAGAGGCTTGGAAAAGTCATCTGGAAGAAAGGGTTTGGAAAAGCCCATGAAGAAGCCTAGCTGCAATGATGGAGATGGTTTGGAAAAACCAGGAACCATCAAAGACAAGGTCAAAGCTGCAGCTGAGGAGGCTGAAGGTGATGCAGACCAGGGTGCTGCAATCTTGCATGGATCTCTGTCCAAGCTTGATAAGAGCAAGGGAACAAGGCCTTGGAAAAGGCCCATGCCCAACTTGGCAAGAAGGAGAAAGGAATTGCTGCTTGCAAATGGCTCTTGGAAAAGGAAGGCAAGCAGTTTCTCCAAGCCTCCAGGAGGGTTTCTGTGGGAGAAGTTGTCACTAAGAATGATAACTGGGAAACCGAACTCCAAATGCTTACCAGGTACACCCCAGAAGAGCTGGAGATGCATCTCCAGTCTGGGAAGGTGATCTGGAGAGAGTGCCCCTACACTTCTGGTACCTTTGAATACAAAGATATCCAGAATTGGCACAAAGCAATCAACACAGCCAGACAGAAGGAATGGCAGAGTGGTGTTGAGTTTGAGCCTGAGGATGAGGACTTGGAAAAGTTCATGGAGCTCTTCAGCACTGACTGCCATTCCTTGTCTGTGGATGAAGGCCTTGGAAAAGGTAGTGCCAAGGGCCTTGGAAAAGGCCAGGGGTCCCTTGGAAAAGGCAGAAGAGGCAGGGGCAGAGCCATCAAGGAGGAGGAGGACAAGGATGAGCCTGATCCCCATGAGAAGCTTGCCAAGGCTTGCAGGACTGCCAGGAATATGGTGTCTGCAACGCTGTCAGACTTGGAAGAAGCTTTGGAAAAAGCAGGTTCCAAGCTGACCAAAGCAGGCAAGACCACAGCCAATGATCTGAGCAAGGAGCTTGGAAAAGCTTTGCAGAAGATCAAGACCTTGCTGACTGGAAAGTCAAAGCTGCAAGATGACCCAGTGAAGGGGCAGCTGATGGAGGTGGCTCAAGTGGTCAAGACTGCCAAGGATGAAACTAAGAAGCTGCTGGCTTTGGGGGGTGCCTCCTCCTCCTCCAAAGCCAAGTGATCTTGGAAAAGGTCCCTCAGGGGGCAGCAGGGGCCTTGGAAAAGGCAAGTTGGACCAAGGGTCTTGGAAAATGCCTTTGGCAACAGAAAGCACACAGCTGGTCTTGGAAAAGGCCACACTGAGAGGGCAAACTACATGGGCCACACACTGACTTTATATGGAAAAGTTACATGCACACCTAGTCTTCATGCAAAGAACCATTTGTTGTTTCCCAGCTGTGTGTGGCCCATGGCAGCCTGACCTCTAATACAGGGGTTGGTGGCATATTATACAGGGACACTTGCAGGAAAAATGAGTGCTCACTGGGGCTATAGGGAAGGTGTGGTACTGCAGCTGCAATCATGAAAAACATGCATGCCTTGGCAATTTGGCTTCAGCTGCTACTAGCTTGGATCCCTTTTGTATATTTGTTTGTTGTTGATTTTAGGCTTGGAAAAGCTATGGCTAAAAGGCTCAGGGGCTGGCAGCTGGAACAAGAATCTGGCAGAAAAGCCATAAAAGGCAAAAAAGCCTTGGAAAAGGCCACAGCCTTGGAAAAGGCAGATGGCTTGGAAAAGCATGAATCACCATTGGCCAGCAAGCTGCTCCATCTCTGGGCTTCTGGCAGCCTCTCTGCTGTCATGGTCAGGGAGCTGGCAAACTTGGCTTTGCAAGATGGAGCAGATCACCCAGAATTGGTGAAGCTGGCCCAATGTGGAAATTGGGGTGCCCAGCCAGGAAACTGCCACAGGCAGATCTTGAACAAGTTCTGCTCTGATGTGATGCTGCCTGAACCTTTTAGCATCAAAGTGAAGTGCATTGATCCCAAGACTTCCTTGGAAAAGGTTGAGCTTGCATCAGTGTACCTCCCCCATCTTCAGTTTGCACATCTTGGGGAACATTATCCTGAGTTCTTCAAAGAAACTTTCCACCTTGGAAAAGGTGACTTGGGAAAGTTTTGGAAAGGAGTGCAAACAACCAAGGATGACAGACTAGAAGGTCATCCCATGTGCTTGGAAAAGCATTGGCAACTCCACTCCATTCCCATATTTGTATATGGGGATGGAGTGGAGTACCAAACAAGAGATACAATGTTGGTATGGTCATGGGGCTGTTTTTTGGGTGATATGGCAAGCATGAAGCAGCACCAGCTGCTGGCTGCCTCCCCCAAAAGCTGTACAGCCAAGGACACCTGGCCTACCATTTGGAAATATTTGAAATGGTCCTTTGAAGCTCTTGGAAAAGGGTTTCATCCAACTCATGACCCAGATGGCAGGCCCTTGGAAAAGGGCAGCAAGCTGCTTGGAAAAGCAGGGCAGCCTTTGCACCCCAAAGGGTACAAGGCTCACATCTGGGCAGTGCAAGGGGACCACGAATTTTTCAGCAACCACCTGAAGCTTCCCCACTGGGCATCCAAGTACCCTTGCTGGGAATGTAATGCTGAAAACTTTGAAGGGTGCAAGGCCACCTTGAATGTGAAAGAATTGGATTTGGACAAGTCCAAATTCAAATTATTTTCACAGAAGGAGCAGCTTGGAAAAGCTTCCCACTTGGAACACCCTTTGTTCCAAGTCCCTGGTGTTACTGCAAAAACTTGCAGGGGTGACCCCATGCATATTTTGTTCTGTAAAGGACTCTATGGCCATGTCATTGGAAGTATATTACATTACCTGTGCTGGTATGAAGGGCCTGGAAAGGTCTGTAAGGAAAGGCCATCCAAAAGGATTGGGGTCATCTTCGATGAAATCCAGCAGGAATACAAGTCCCAAGGTTTGGAGCACAGGCTCACAAATCTTAAGCTCAGCATGTTTACAAATGCTGAAAAGCCTTGGCTTGGAAAAGCCACCATGGACTGCAAAGCAGGTGAAAGCAAGCATCTGCTTCCAGCCTTGGTTCCTGTCTTGGAAAAGATGTTTGCTGGGACCAAAAAAGAAGAGAAAAAAATGTTATCTGCAGCCAAGAGCTTGGAAAAGCTTGTGGCATTGTGGGATGAAGCAGGTACATTCCTCACCCCTGCTGAATTTTCAAAAGGCATGGCTCTTGGAAAAGAATTCTTGCTGGCCTACAAATGGCTGAATGCATGGTCCTTGGAAAAGGGTAGGCATTCTTTTGCCATTGTTGTGAAGCACCATACCTTTATCCACCTCCTTTGGAATTCCAAATTTCTGAATCCCAAAAGGCACTGGAATTTCAAAGGGGAAGACTTTGTGGGTCGAGTCTCTAGAATGGCCCACAGCATCAGCTTTGGAGTTTCCTCCACAAGGGTGAGCTCCAAACTGTGCATCAAATACAGGTTGTTCTTCCATTTCCTGTTGACCAGGAGCATGGAGGAACCTGTGTGGGACAGTGAGGAGGATTAGGTGTATCTTGGAAAAGGCTCTTCTCCTGCTGATCTTGGGAAAGACGCATTCTGGAGATATCTTGGAAAAGGTATTCACACAGCATGTCTTGGAAAAGATATTGCATGTCTTGGAAAAGGCTTGACAGGGCTGCATCATGGTAGAAAAAAGGAGGAAGTCAGCTGCAGCTTTTCTCAGAAAATCTTGATCTTCCTGTTTTAAAATCTTGATTTTCATTTTTGGAAATATTGATTCTCCACTTGATTTGATGCTCCAAAAATGATACTTTTTTACTTTGAAATTTGCCTTTGAAAAATCAATATCTCAGATTGATTTTTGAACCCCACCAAATCAAGATCTTGATTCTAATCAATATGCGATGCTCAGGGGAAGTCTCGCACGAAATGCGTTTTTGAGAGATAGCAGATTAACCCTGTGTTTTTCCATACAAAGTCCGTCCCCGAACGCCGATGATCTACCTCTGCGGTGCGACGGGTGCGAGACGGTCTCGTGTGTGGTCGGATCATGGTCGGATATTCTCGGATCATGGTCGGATCGGTTCCGCATTGTAAATGGGGTTTCAAGTGTTTTTTGTGCATGTGCGGTCGACAGAATTCCATTGTGATTTGCAACTGTAGGATCGTTCCCGCAATGTAAATGGGATTGCAAGTGGTGCTGGTGGATGAGTTGCCGATGGAATTCCCATTGTGATTTGCAACTCTACGAAGACTGTACGCTGGAAGTTATATGAGTTTACAGATTTAGACGAGTTACAACATGTATATAAACCTTCTATAACATGTCTATAACCTGCTTGCAAGTATGTAAAGTGTCATAACATTTGATAAGTAATTTGTAAGTTTAGCTATCCGGCTACGAGAAGTTGTAAATGTTTAGGTAAAATATAAATGGTTAATGAACTTATCGTAAGTATCTTAACTGCATGTTTTCTTTTTATAACTATGTTAACAGACTTAACATAAGTATGTAGGAAAAGTTATCATAAGTTATCTGAAAGTTAACAAAAGTTATAAAAAGTTATAAAGTTACAAAAAGTTAGTATAAAGGTATATAAAGTTAAAAATATGTTTACAAGAGGGCAATGAAAATGTTTATTTATTTTACATCTTTCGAGAGTTTCATTAAGTTTGTGACAAAGCTTGTCAACATTTATACAGGGTGAAACAATCTTTCTGTATGTGGAAACGATGTTGTTCGCAGGCAATTTTTTTGTGAAGACAGGTCCTGTAAAGGAATCGGTGTGAAAAAAATGAGGTCCTGGAACGGACATGGTTTGAAAAAATAGTTCCTGTAAAGGATTCTGTTTGAAGAAATTGTTCCTGTAAAGGACATGGTTTGCAAAGACTGTTCCTGTGAAGGATGTGGTCTGTAAAGACATTTCCTGTAAAGGATCGAATGTTTGAACTTGTAATATCTAATGCTTGTAAAGGACCTGGTCTTGGAAGATATTTCTTGCAGAGAAGGTCTGGTTCTTTCACACCGATATGCAAACAGTGTGTGTTTGTGTTAGCTGCATTGCCTCTCAAAGTAAACGCACCAGCGCGTCCGTTCGATTAAATACGATGTCTACGGACAGCTACATGTTGGCCCTTGCTGCGGCAGCGTCGCCACTTTTGGAGCTAGCCAAATCTTTGCCGGAGAGCCTCGAGGCTCCCGGAGAGGAGACGGTGGATCAGCCGCCCGCAGAGGCTGGAGATGGCGAGCATGCGGCCCGCGAGAAGGAGCAGGCGACGGAAGAGAAGATGACGGAGACAGAGACCGAGAAGGTAGAAGAGGCCATCAAGAAGCCAGACCGAAAAAGGGTGACCGGTAAGTCTTCTGAAGCGTCTGCTCCGAGCAAGAAGCAGAAGTAGATGGCAATCAGCGCGGGCAGGAAAAGGAATGCGTGCCGGAGGTGTAGGGTCACTTCTGAAAAGACGGTTCCTGGAAAGGATCGAGTCTGAAAAGACAGTTCCTGAAAAGGATCAAGTCTGAAAAGACAGTTCCTGAATAGGATTTAGTCTGAAAAGACAGTTCCTGAAAAGGATCCATTCTGAACAGATATTCCCTGAAAAGGATGAAGTCTGAAAAGACAGTTCCTGAAAAGGATCAAGCGCGAAGAGACATGTCGTGCACGGGAAGAAGTTCGACAAACCTATTCCTGAGAAAAAATTCTTTGTCGCATGATATCGTTCAGACACATTGAATGGGCAGCAGATATCCGCTTGCATTTTGGATCTAGTTTTTTTCTGCAACAAGAGCTCACTAGCACCGAAGGACAAAGGTCCATAGAAAGAGCCATGAGCCAAATTGTTGCTTCGCTGGAAGCCTGTGGCCGCTACTTGGAGACCATGAAGACGTTTCCTAGCTTTATGCAAGCTAAGGAGAGCCAACTGTCTTCTTTGACGTGTCAATTTGGTCGGCATAGTTGGTCGCTTTCTGAAGGCTCTGAAGCATTGGAGCTCTTGCAGCGCCAGGCCATTTGGAATGAGACGGAACGAAGCTCTTTGGCATTAGCTATAGTTCCACCATAGTTCCGCTATAGTTCAGCTATAGTTCCACTATAGTTCCGCTATAGTTCCACTATAGTTCCGCTATAGTTCCGCTATAGTTCAGCTATAGTTCCGCTATAGTTCCGCTATAGTTCCACTATAGTTCCGCTATAGTTCCGCTATAGTTCCA